GAATGTCAAGGGTGGGAGAAAGAACTCTTGACTGTTTGAGGCAGATGTGAATGTTGCAATTGGCCACCTTGATTAGCATTTAATGTGCTTGTAGTTTCAAGGTCTGGCTGGTTCCTGCGGGAGGGGGGGGGTCCTTTGTTGGGAGGTGATAAACTGGCTCTGATGGTTTCACGTCTGGAATTCCCTTGTTTCCAGAGTGTGCCTCTTTATTGCTTGCTTGCTTGCTTGCTTGCTTGCTTGCTTGCTTGCTTGCTTGCTTGCTTGCTTGCTTGCTTGCTTGCTTGCTTGCTTTCTTTCTTTCTTTCTTTCTTTCTTTCTTTCTTTCTTTCTTTCTTTCTTGTCATACCCCACCCTTCTCTACTTCATATAGGGGTCTCAAGGTGGCTTACAGTGGCACATACATTGTGCCTCAACCCCAATTACCTAAAAAATTAAAAATTGTAACATATTAAATAGAGTCAAAACAGATTTCAAGTTAAAAAAACACGCCATCCAAAGTTCATGGTCTGAGTCCATTCTGAGGTCAAATTGCACAAAGTTTCAATTCAGAATACTGCATTGCCCTAGTTTCCAAAAGCCTGTTCCCAAAGCCAGGTTTGACTCTTTTCCTAAAGGCTAATAGGGAGGGGGCTGCTCTGATGTCACTAGGGGGGGAGTTCCACAACCAAGGGGCCACCACTGAGAAGGCCCATATCTCGTCCCCACCAGCCGCACTTGTGAGGCCAGCGGGACCGAGAGCAGAACCTCCCCAGATGATCTTAGTCTTCGTGCTGGTTCGTAGGGAGTGGTACAATCAGACAAGTAGCCTGGACCAGAACGGTTTAAGGCTTTATAGGCTAAAGCCTTAAACTGAATTGTGCTCAGTAGCAAACTGGCAGCCAGTGAAGCTGACGCAACAGGGGGGTTGTGTGCTCCCTGAGCAACCTGGCTGCTGCTCGCTGGACTAATGGATTGCCCTAATTTTAGAGTTTTTAATACTGGTAACCAGATTTTGTTCATTTTCATGGTTTCCTCCTTCCTGTTGAAATTGTCCACATGCTAGTGGATTTCAATGGCTTCTCTGTGTAGTCTGACATGGTGGTTGTGAGAGTGATCCAGCATTTCTGTGTTCTCATATAATATGTTGTGTCCAGGTTGGTTCATCAGGTGCTCTGCTATGCCTGACTTCTCTGGCTGAATTAGTCTGCAGTGCCTTTTGTGTTCCTTTATTCGTGTCAGAAGAGAATGCTTCTGGAATATGGCCATACAGCCTGGAAAACTCACAACAACCCAGTGATTCCAGCCATGAATCAAGATTTACTAGAGAAGGAAGTCCAAAATATCATAAAGGTACCAGATCCTACCAAATCCTGTAAGTGATGCTGGATGAGTTCTGATTAATATTTGAATAGAATCATAGAATCTTAGAGTTGGACGAGACTTCATGAGCCATCCAGTCCAACCCCATTCTGCCAAGAAGCAGGAAAATTGCATTCAAAGCAACCCCGACAGATGGCCATCCAGCCTCTGTTTAAAAGATTCTAAAGAAAAAGCCTCTTCCACACTCCAGGGCAGAGAGTTCCACTGCTGAACAGCTCTCACAATCAGGAAGTCCTTCCTAATGTTCAGATGGAATCTCCTTTCTTGTAGTTTGAAGCCATTGTTCATTGTGTCCTAGTCTCCAGGAAAGCAGACAACAAGCTTGCTCTTTCATCCCTTTGACTTCCTCTCACATATTTATACATGGCTTGGCTATCATGTCTCCTCTCAGCCTTCTTTTCTTCAGGCTAAACATGCCCAGCTCTTTAAGCCGCTCCTCATAGGGCTTGGAGGCCATCAGTGAATATCAGTTGCTGTAGATTGTTTTTCAAAGGAAGGAACTGGCAAAACCACCTCTGAGTATCCCCTGCCGAAGAAAACCTTATGAAACTAGAAGTTGACAGGTGACTTGAAGGCACATACATGCACAAGCCCGAGAGAGTCGAGAGAGCCAGGTTCAAATCTCCTTTTGGCCATGGAAACCCACTAGGTTGGGTTGTTGTGAGTTTTCCGGACTGTCTGGCCATGTTCCAGAAGCATTCTCTCCTGACATTTCACTTGCAACCTCTGAGGATGCCTGCCATAGATGTGGGCGAAATCTGGAGAGAATGCTTCTGGAACATGAAGATATTGTAAACAAGGAATGAAACTGCTTTTTCTTGGCATTATCCGCCTTTATCTATAGCAGTGGTTCTCAACCTTCCTAATGCTGCGACCCTTAATACAGTTCCTCATGTTGTGGTGACCCCCAAACATAAAATCATTTTCGTTGCTACTTCATAACTGTAATTTTGCTACTGTTATGAATTGTCATGTAAATATCTGATATACAGGGTGTATTTTAATTCACTGGATCAAATTTGGCACAAATATCTGATACGCCCAAATTTGAATACTGGTGGGGTTGCGGGGAGATTGATTTTTCATTTGGAAGTTGTAGTTGCTGGGATTTATAGTTCACCTACAATCAAAGAGCATTCTGAACTCCAGTAATGATGGAATTGAACCAAACTTGGCACATAGAATTCCAATGACCAACAGAAAATACTGGAAGGGTTTAGTGGGCATTGACCTTGAGTTTTGGAATTGTAGTTCACCTACATCCAGAGAGCGTGGACTCAAACAATGATGGATCTGGACCAAACTTGGCACAAATACTCAATATGCCCAAATGTGAACACTGGTGGAATTTGGGGGAAATAGACCTTGACATTTGGGAGTTGAAGTTGCTGGGATTGCTGGGATTTATAGTTCACCTACAATCAAAGAGCATTCTGAACTCCACCAACAATAGAACTGGGCCAAACTTCCCACACAGCACCCCTATGACCAACAGAAAATACTGTGTTTTCTGATGGTCTTTGGTGACTCCTATGACACCTCTTCCTGACTCTCAGATTGAGAAATGCTGACCTAAACACTAAAAAAACTTCCAGACCCTAAGAGCTCTTTGGCTGTGGAATATGATGCATTGGAAAGTGATGGAGGTTTTGAAGAATTCAAAATGATCTTACAGATTAGAGAGATGGGCCAAAACGAACAAAATGAAGTTCAACACTGACAAATGCAAGATACTCCACTTAAGCAGAAAAAAATGAAATGCAAAGATACAGAATGGGAGACGCCTGGCTCGAGAGCAGTACATGTGAAAAAGATCTTGAAGTCCTCGTGGGCAACAAGTTAAACATAAGCCAACAATGTGATGCAGTGGCAAAAAAAGCCAATGAGATTTTGGTCTGCGTCATAGGAGTCTAGAGTCTAGATCCAGGAAAGTCCTGCTACCCCTCTATTCTGCCTTGGTTAGACCACACCTGAAATCACATTGTGTCCAATTCTGGGCATCACAATTGAAGAGCGATATTGACAAGCTGAAATGTGTCCAGAGGAGGGAGACCAAAATGATTAAGGGTCTGGAGAACAAGCCCTATGAAGAGTGACTTAAAGAGCTGGGCATGTTTATCCGGAAGAAGAGAAGGCTAAGAGGAGACATGATAGCCCTGTATAAATACGTGAGAGGAATTCATTGGGACGGGCCATAGCCAGGATTTTGATTTGGGGGGGGGGGGGGGCTGAGTTTGATTGGGTCTGAGTGAAAGAGGGTCTACCCTAGCAAACCTTTTGTATTGTTACCCCAATACCCCATGCATATGGGATATATTGAGCACGGTGATCAGATCATGATATGAATAAACATAACAGTTTAAATAATGTACCAGTAAGGCCTTCTTGCGAACCACCATGAGAATTTGGAGGGGGAGGGGGCTGAAGCCCCTCAAGCCCCCTTCTTGGCTACATGCTGGCATCAGAAGGAGGGAGCAAGCTTGTTTTTTGCTGCCCTGGAGACTAGGACGAGGAGCAATGGCTTCAAACTACAAGAAAGGAGATTCCATCTGAACTTTAGGAAGAACTTCCTGACTGTTGTAAATTGTATATTGTATTTTGTGAATTGTTGAGCATCGAATTGTGCCTTTTGTAAGCTGCCCTGAGAGGGTTGAGAAGGGCAGGGTAGAATCACTCCAAATAAATAAATAAATAAATAAATGTGAGAGCTGTTCAGCAGTGGAACTCTCAAATCACCCCGACAGATGGCAGGAACTGGAACTGGCAAAACCACCTTCACCAGTGGAACTCTCTGCCCCGTTGTGTGGTGGAGGCTCCGTCTTTGGAAGCTTTTAAGCAGAGGCTGGATGGCCATCTGTCAGGGGTGCTTTGAACGCAATATTCCTGCTTCTCAGCAGGAGGTTGGACTGGATGGCCCATGAGGTCTCTTCCAACTCTATCATTCTATGATTCCATTATTCTCTGCCCGGAGTGTGGTAGAGGCTCCTTCTTCGGAAGCTTTTAAACAGAGGCTGGATGGCCATCTATCGGGGGTGCTTTGAACGCAATATTCCTGCTTCTCAGCAGGGGGTTGGACTGGATGGCCCATGAGGTCTCTTCCAACTCTAGTATTACTTCTGCCCCGGAATGGCTCAGTCAGTTCTATGAAGCTTTTAAACAGAGGCTGGATGGCCATCTGTCGGGGGTGCTTTGAATGCAATATTCCTGCTTCTTGGCAGAGGGGTTGGACTGGATGGCCCATGAGGTCTCTTCCAAGTCTAGGATTCTATCAAGCAGAGCAAGACAATCACATAATGGTTCCAAGTCGGAAAAGCAGGGGAATGCAGAGGAGCTCCTTCAGTGAAGGAACCGGTGGGGTGACCTTGGGCACGTCGCACTCTCTCAGCCTCGGAAGAAGCCTCCCGGGCACGAGTTCTGAGTCAGAAAGGACTGAAGTCCGACCCGAAGGACTGGGAGTTTCTTCGGCGAGGGAAGCCGGGACTCCACTCATCTTGGGAAGCTTGGGGGGAAGTGGAAGTCCCTGGAATTCGCCCCGGGCTTTGAGGGCGAGGCTTGGTGTCTCTCTTTTGGGGGGGGGGGGGGGTGGATCCCTCCCTTCCCGGGAGGAGGCGGAGTCCCTTCCCTCCCTCCTTCCCTCCCTCCTTCCCTCCCTCCTTCTCGCTCTCCTTCCCTCCTTCTTTCTCCTCGCTCGCTGGGAGCCACGGTCGGTGCCTCTTCTCCCTCCTCTCCTCTCCTCTCCTCTCCTTCCTCCGCCATGCGCCGCTCGGAGCCCGGCCTGCTCCTCTTCCTCCCCTTCCTCGCCCTCGCCTCGGGCTCTCCCGGAGGGTCCCGCTCCGTCTACACCAACCACTGGGCCGTGCGAGTGTCGGGGGGCGCCCTGGAGGCGGAGCGCCTGGCCGCCGCCTATGGATACCTCAACCTCGGGCAGGTGAGGCGCAGGTGGGCTTTCGGCGGAACCCAAGGCGTTCGCGCAGAAAGGTCGCGGGTCTCCCACAAGATCTCGCCTAAAAAAGTTCTTTCCCGGTGGGGTCTTCTCCTTTACCCGGCAGGAAGGGGATCTTGGGGAGGCTGGGAACATCAGGAGGCCGACTATCCCCCTGCAAAACACCCCCTCGACCCTCAAGGGTGTCCTTTTGCTGCCCAAACGCCTTGGCCTGAGGGGGTGCCCTATCTCTCCCTTACCAAAGGTTCCCAGAGGTTCCCGGTGGCTCCTACTGCCGACGCTTCCGTCCCCGACCCTAGTCGGGAGCTTTTTGATGCGCCTTTTGTGCGGGGAAATTCCTGGGCTCCGTTCTTTGCCCGGTTTCTCAAAGCCTCGCCAGCCAGACTTTCCTTGGAAGGCTCCTGCTGCCGATGCTTCCGTCCCCGACCCCAGTCGGGAGCTTTATTGATGCGCCCTTTGTGCGGGGAAATACCTGGGCTCCGTGTTTTGCCCGGTTTCTCAAAGCGTGGCCAGCCAGACTTTCCTCGGGAGGCTCCTGCTGCCGATGCTTCCCTCCCCGACCTCAGTCGGGACCTTTTTTTGGTGCGCCTTTTGTGCAGGGAAATACCTGGGCTCCCTGCTTTGCTTGGTTTCTCAAAGCGTCGGCAGCCAGACTGTCCTCCGGAGGCTCCTGCTGCCGATGTCGGGAGCTTTTCTGACGCGCCTTTTGTGCGAGGAAATTCCTAGGCTTCGGGATTTGCCCGGGTTCTCAAAGCATCGCCAGCCGGACTCTCCTCCTTTCCTTCTGACCATTATTAGGGATGACCCTGCGCTTTCAACGTAGGCAGCTGACAATGCAATTTCCCCCCTTTGCCATTATTTGGGAAGCTTCTGAAAGCTTTTTTCCAAGCCCTGCTGTCTGTGAGTCCGGATGCAAAGGAGGAAATTAAGACCCAACTCTATCAAAGCTCATGCTCCCAACTTTTGCCTCCCATTTCAGGTGTGTATCTACACTGTAGAATGAATGCAGTTGGATACCACTTTAAGATCTATGGCTCAGTGCCCTACAATCCTTTTACAATCTCTGTAGCCTCCTCTGTAAAATAATGCTGGTGCCTCACCAAACTATAACGTCCATTGCATTGAGCCTTGGCATTAAAGTGGTGCTAAACTATGTTCATTCTACAGTGTAGTTCAGGCATGGGCCCATGCCTGGTGTAGATGCATCCTTAGTCTCAAAGCTGCTACTAGATCCCTTTGCAAGTAAGATCTGGTCAGTTCTTTGAGTCCCAATACTGGTGGAGGAGGGAAGGAATGCATGCAATCTGGAAGTAAACTGCATTTTATTCATTACATTTGGCCCGGCCTTGGTTTTAAATGCGTCATGGTGTTATTGTTTTAATGTTTATTGTTATTGCTTTATGAGTTTTATTGTTTTATTTGTTATGCTGTTGTTTATTGAGGGCCTTGGCCTTTTGTAAGCCGCACTGAGTCCTTCGGGAGATGTTAGCGGCTTATAAATAAAGTTAATAAATAATAATAATAATAAGTGGGCTAATAGTAGTAATGATATAATTATATTGATAATATATTGTATATAATATAATATTTATAATATTATATTAATATTATAATATATTATAGTGTAATGCAATATAATACTAATAATAATATGATATAATTATATATTTATATTACATGTAATATTACTAATAATATTACAATATAATGATATAGTACAATACTAATATTGTACTATGGTAATAATATATTGTATGTGTGTGTGTGTGTGTGTGTATATATATTTTTAAATCCTCATATTGTGTCATTATTATTATTATTATTATTATTATTATTATTATTATGAGTTCTGTATATTTTTACTGGCGTATTCCTCCTCCTTGTGCTGTAGTTTATCATCTCATCCCATTCATTTCTCTCTTTCTGCCTCCTTCCTTCTACTTTTCTCTGCTCTCCTTTCTGTCTAGTTCCTTCCATATAGGATTTGGGAAAATTACTGAAACATTGGAAAAGTCATGTTAGCCTTTGTCTGTGGGTTGTACCGTAGCTGACCTCCAGGCTTGTTGGAAGCAGGAAAGATCAGACAATAAATAGCAATCTGTTTTACAATTTACCCTCCCACCAGACCCTAAGGTCTGATTCTATATAATACAAAACTTCTAGAGTGGAGAGGTATGCATGGAATCTGTTTATTGACAGGAAGAGTCAACAAATGCCTAATCAAGAATCACAGAATGATAGAGATCAAAGAGAAATCTAGTCCTATCTACTTCCATTCTTGAATACTCAAAGCCTTGTGTTGTTGAAGGCTTTCCTGGCTGGAATCACTGGGTTACTATGAGTTTTCCAGGCTGTATAGCCATGTTACAGAAGCATTCTCTCCTGACATTTCACCCACATCTATGGCAGGCATCCTTAGAGGTTGTAAGGTTTGTTGGAAACAAGGCAAGTGAGGTTGATATATCTGTGGAATGTCCAGGGTGGAACAAAGGATTCCTCCAGGTACAAAGCAGCCAGGCTTTGAAGCTGCAAGGCTATTCAGTGCTAATTAAGCTGGCCAAATGCAACATTCACACTTGTCTCCAACAGACAAGAGTCCTTTCTCCCATCCTGGACATTTCACAGATATATAAACCTCGCTTGTCTGGTTTACAACAGGCCTCACAATGCTTCTGAAACATGGCCATACAGCTCGGAAAACTCACAGCAACCCACTCAAAGCATTCCTTCAAAATAGCCATCTAACATCTGTTTAAAGACCTCCAACCATTCTGTGATGCAGTCCAGTATCTCTTACAATCAAGAAGTTCTCCCTAAAGTTTAGGCAGAATCACTTTTCTTTTCATTTGGATCCTTTGGTTTATGTTTCAGTCTGGGGAGCAACAAACCTCCTTTTTTTTCCTCATCAGCTACCAGGGACCAACCATTATATGCCAGAAACCAGCACTGTATTGGTGCCCATTGGGTAAAATGGATTGGTGGCCAGTGGCTCAGGGGCCACCACATTGAGTAGCTTTGCTGTTGTAGATGAAATCCCATCAGGTATTTATTTATGACGGCCTTATCACTTCTCAACCTTCTCTCCCCCAAGCTAAATACACCCAGATCTCTAAGTCATTCCTCAGAGAGATCGATTTCCACATCTTTGACGACCTTGGTTGTCCTCCTCTGAACATGTTCCATCTTGTCAATATCCAGTATCCAATACTTGAAATTCATATACAGTTTGAATGATGTAGAGATTCCTTAAGAGACCCCTCTCCATCTTTTCCATGACCCATTGCTTTCTGGGTTTGCATCCCACTCTTTCCTCTGGATTTTGGGGTGCTTGTATGTTTTAAATTGTATGCTGACGTTTTTATGTTAAGCTGCTTTAAGTCTCCTGCAGGAAAGATAAAGCAGGGTATAAATAAATATGCAGGTAGGTCAAAAGGTTTTGCCTCCTGTATCATAAAAGCGTTCTGAATGAACCTGTAACAGCAGAAGTTGCTGTAGATCATAGCCTGAACTGTCCTGTATTCAAAACCTACCATTCAACATAGTCACCATCAATTTGTACACATTTGCGCCATCGTTTAACTCAGGCATCAAAACCATTTTGTAAAAATTCAGGGTTTTGCTTTGTGACCCATGATTTTAAAGCTGTTTTAATGTCATTCAAGTCATTGATTTTGAAACCACATAGGTTGTCTTTCAGAGGGACAAACAGGTAAAAGTCAGATGGGACCGAATCATAAACATTCTTCAAGCGAGGATGGATTTCCTTAGGTGCACAACCTTCTTTTGCCAGAAATTTAATAATGACTCTTTTAGCTTCAGATTCATGGTCTTAGTCAATCGGAAAAAGAAAACACCCTATCAGTTGAGTAATGTTACCTCTATCATATCATGCATGGATAGTCCAGGAGCTGTGAAAGAAATAAAAGTTAGATCTATGGAGGCATTACTTTTTGACCCAGTCATGTATTTAGAACCTAGTTAAATAATAAAAGGAAATTATTTTCATTGCAGTTCATAACTGTAATTTTGCTACTGTTATGAATCATAATGTAAATATCTGATATGCAGGATGTGTTTTCATTGGGCACAAATACCCAATACGCCCAACTTTGAATACTGGTGGGGTTGGGAAGGATTGATCTTGCCATTTGAGAGTTGTAGTTGCTGGGATCTATAGTTCACCTACAATCAAAGAGCATTCTGAACTCCACCAACAATGGAATTGAACCAAACTTGGCACACAGCACTCCCATGACCAACAGAAAATACTGGAAGGGTCTGGTGGGCATTGACATTAAGTTTGGGAATTGTAGTTTATCTCCATGCAGAGAGCACTGGACTCAAACAATGATGGATCTGGACCAAACTTGGCAAGAATACTCAATATGCCCAAATGTCAATACTAGCAGAGTTTGGGGGAAATAGACTTTGACATTTGGGAGTTGCAATTGCTGGAATTTATAATTCACCTACAATCAAGGAGCATTCTGAACCCCACCAACAATAGAATTGGGCCAAACTTCCCACACAGGACCCCCATGACCAACCGAAAATACTGTTTACTTTGGCGACCCCTCTGACACCCCCTTGCGACATGCCCAGAAGCCCCGACTCCCTGATGTTCAACTCTCCTGATGAGAAGTACAGTCCACCAAGTAAAAGAAAAGACTACATCGGTAGAGTAAGGTAACCTGAATCATATCATGCATAGATAGTCCAGGAGCTGTGAAAGAAATAAAAGCTAGAGCAATGGAAGCAATACTTTTTGACCCACCCTCATATAATAACAACTCTTGAAATCAAGGTTTACCTCCAGAATGGGAGCCCCCGGTGGCGCAGTGATTAAACCCCAGTGCCAGCAGGACTGAAGACCGACAGGTCGCAGGTTCAAATCCGGGGAGAGGCAGATGAGCTCCCTCTATCAGCTCCAGCTCCTCATGCGGGTACATGAGAGAAGCCTCCCACAAGGATGATAAAAACATCAAATCATCTGGGC